ATACCTAGACACAGGAGAACTATTGTCGTGAAAGTGTTGTACAGTCAATTACGAATTTAGATTGCAGAGAGTTTGTTCTGAGCGCTAAAGGCACTCACGATAGAGCACATTTTGCTTTATTCTAACACTGCAGGGAGGATTGCATGGCTCGGCCAAGTGTGTCCCAGGCGATCTCAGACTTGGCTGCATCTGAGATAGTACCTTTGTCCCTCCAGCGCAAGCGTAGGGCGGGAAGGGTCACACACTCTTGGATGCACTGAGGATCAAGGCGTGACTGTTTGGTGTCCGCCACGTACAATGCCGCAAGTTCAGTGAAGAAATGAGGATTGGGGGCTATGAGATGATTGGCCGTCTCAAGTTCATTCCGTCCACCTCAAGGTTTCGTTTCTCCCACCAAGAAAGTTTGTCAAAGAGATTGGACTTGTCGAGATGTCCATACATGTGCTGGGGCGCCCAATCCACCAAGGACCAAAGTATAGCTTCCCAAATGGACGACACCAAGTCAAACTGGGCATCAGTTGGAGACAGTGGGCGATCATCAAAAGCCATCTCAATGGCAGAGAGACCATTGCAAGCAATCCGCACCTTGGGGCATGACAAAAGATTTGGGAACCATTGCTTAAGGAGCCAATCAACCGCCATTATACCGGCCAACAGACCAATGAGTTCGCTGCGGTATGGGCTCTGATCCTGGGGCAAACCGGGGGTCTGACACGGGATGATGATTCGATGGCACCCTCCATGCTTCACCAAGAGTTGAACCGCCGCGGTTCCTAACTCGTTCTTGAAGGATCCATCGCTGATCACGCGCAGGCGACCTTCCAACAGAGCATCAGCTAAGGTGGCTTCCTCACCGTGAACCTTGATCCAGACCCACCCAAAATAGTCCTTGCAAAGCTCGGCAGCCGTCTGCCACGCTTGAAGGATGGATGGGCTGTTGGGAGGGGACGGGTCAGAGGCACGACCAGTACCTGTGAGAAGAACATAAGAACCATGGGCAGGAAGGATGTGACGGCTCTGGTGCGTAGCGACGTGACGTGGTGGAGGAACCCTCAGGAGAAAAATGTTTCCAGTTTGCCCCATGGCGGTGGAAAAGGCCTGTACCGGTAGAACTGGATCTGCCTGATTATTATTAAGCACTGGTGTTTGGCAAGTCTCTCATATCCCTTGAAACTCTCCCCTCATATATTTTGATTTGCTTTTTGAAAGAAAATAGCCCAGATTTGGTTCCAGCTGACGACATGTACACGTACGTAGAAGCTGGTAGTCGTGAGATGATTTGCAAACCCCATTTATCCGATATGTGCCGAATTTTTCACCCCCCCCCCCCCACTACACAGCAGTACATCTCAGTTTTCACGTGCACACCCACTAAGTTAAAGGTGTAGTAAGCAAAGCTGCCATGGGAAAAGATGACCAGCCACTTTGCAGACGAAACACCACCGAAGCTAGCAAAATAGAGAGACCACCAGCCAAGAAGAGTCGTTATTTGACTACCAGAAACTAGATAGCCCTTGGTTTGTAGTGATGGTGCTTTTTCAGGAAAAAGGTTCAATTCATTTTATTATAATTGCTTCCTGAAAAAATTCAATTCATTATTATAATTGCTTCCTTCCGAAATGATCATGATGATTAGAATCCAACCTAATCTGACAAACGTTGTCCAATTTCGTCAGCCATTTCATCAAAATAAAAATGCAGACTAAGAATTAGCTTTGTAATGTGCGAACCGAACTTTGTGTAGAAATCGAAAGGTGTGACTGAATTACAGGCGACAGCCAATACTTTACATTTCAACCTATACCTAATTGATATGCCATTGCGCCAAGCCAAACAAAGTCAGGCCAGACCCGAGTTCAACAACAGGCAGAAGCGGCATGCAGCTGGACAGTTACTGAGCATGAAAACTCTGTTTGATTCACACTGGAACAAAAAATGAATCAGGTGTCGCCTCAAAAGTCGTTGCATCATACAGCGGACTTACCTCCCCGACAGAACTCCAAAAGGCGCAGAGCTTTAAAACATGAAAATATGAGCGTCAAAGGACAATGTTAGTTGTATAGGATCACATAATTTACCTCATTCGTGTTCTTGCTTCAGTTGTTGAAGAAATTCACGTCAATAAACTAAAGACAGATCAACATGATTTCTGTTTTTTTGTAGGAGCTTACCACCTTGGCCTTGCGTATTCATACTCAGGCATGGCAAGTACTTCGTTGAAAAAATAACTATCCATTCGAGCCAAGACTTCGCGTATGGCCGCCTTTTCAATTTCAGAACCATCAATCCGTTGCGTGACGCCTACATCAATGGTTGACCCATCTACCTGATACCTAGATATATATCTCGCATTGAAACAAAAGTGGAAACATTGATATCCAGACTTGGTTCAACAAACATACCTTGTCGCGAAAAAATCATGAGTGCAACTGAATTGATCACTACCGACGTCAATGCATATTTGTCTCCCACAAATTACATTCGCCAGTAGCAAGGGATATAGAATTACGACGCGCCGGATCTTGGGACTTTCCATGCTGCTGCCACCTCTTGTCAACACGAGTACGAGTATGAGTACGAGTACTAGTGCACTGCGCTGCCACAGTTTCAAGTTCAGAAATAAAAATAAACGACAGACGGAGGGACTGTCTTTTTCTCTGGTTAGGAGTCGTACATCTCGTTTCATAATTGGTGGCTAGAAATGTAAAATACGTCGTGTAGCAATAGACTTACTAGGAGGATGATAAAAGTAAAGGAAAGTTGATAGACGTTCGTAAAAGGAAATCTAGAAAGTTGTGATGATGTGTGTGGTCCATCACCGATTCTGTA